AACGGAGAAGCTGTGGCTGCCCCATCCCTGGCAGTGTTCAAGGCCAGGTTGGACACAGGGGCTTGGAGCAAGCTGCTCTAATGGAACATGTCCCTGCCTATGGCAGGGGATTGGATAAGCTTTAAGGTCCCTTCCAATCCAAACCAGTCTGGGATTCTGTGTCAGCATCCCAATTCCTGCTGGGAACCCCAGAGAGCAGAAAAGGAAGTTAAAGGGTACAGTGCTCAGACAGCCTGGGTTGTGCTGCAAACAGTTCCTCAGCAAGAGAAATATTTCTCCACATCTCCCAATACAAAATTCACCCAGACCAGGTCACCTCAGAGTTTTGCCCCAGCATCCCAGCCTTGCCCTGCTGCTCTGCCACCCGTTAGCATCACTGCCTTCACTGTGCAGCTCTGCAGTCGAGCTAGCTTCAAACTTTCCCAGGCAACGCTCCTGTGTAGGAAAATGCCAGGCTGGCACAGTGCAGTGCTCCTGGGGCCCGGCTGGTTTCACACAAGTGCTGACACAGCAGCAGGCAGGGACTGAGCAGAGCCTGCCAGCTCTCCAGCCTGGCTTGGCTGCCCAGGAGCCCCGGCTGCCTGGCTCCAAGGTCTCTTGGCAAGAGGACAGCCCTAGACCAGGGTCTGTCAGCACACGGAGCCCCCAAGGCCCTGATTCCAGCCCCTGTGCAGTCTGGAGTCTTTCAGAGTCTTTCTAAAGGTCAAAAGGAAATTATCACTTCTACTTTTCCCCAAGTCTGATTTCGAAACATTTAAGTCTCCAGCCAGCCCTAAATGCTGTTATTTCTCACTCCTAATTCACAGGGTCCCTTGTTATCTCCACATGTCCATGACCTTTCTGTCATGTGTTTAGGAGCTGATGAATGGTAGTTAAGACATGCCAAACTCATTCCATTCGTGAGACAAACCACACCAGTCTCAAAGGGCATCAGGGAAATCACTTCTCATCCAGCCCTTCCAGCCCCTGCTCTAAGCACAAGAGACAACAGCTCAGGTCTCCCCTGGTATAAACCAGCAGAGCTCCAGGTAGAGATGACTGCACTGTGCAGTTAAGCAGAGCCTCCCAGGGACCTGCCCTGAGCACCGACAGAATGTTAAAGTCGTTTGGGACTTCTTTTTCTTTGCATCCATTTATACAATGAACTTGTTTAAATGATGTTGCCAAACTCACACATGCAAAACCGGTCCAGATAGACCCTGACATTCAATACTTAAAGAGGCTTACAGACCTGTAAGGGGGGTTTAAAAAAGCATCTAGGTGATGGAGACACCAGCAGGAACTGTTTTTAAATGGAAATCAGATGCATAATGTATTTTGGAGAGTCTATACAGCCCTCCAGCATCCAGTCACCTCTTGCATCTACAGCTGCTCTGTAAAGATGGAGTGTGGGTGCTGAACTCCAGAAAGCCACTGGGGTTTCATGGGAAAGGGATCCTGTCAAGATCCACGACCAAAGCTGACAGCAAAGTTGCTTCCATTTCTCCATGACTTTCCAGTTCCTTACAAATGAACACTGCGTTCCAGAACACAATCCTCCCCTCCCTCTTCCTCCAGTCTGGAAGTGCCCCTGCCTTTTTGTTCCTCCCCAGAAGGGGTCTGGCAGGTTCTAGCACAGGAGGAACCTGGGAGGAAGAGCCCAAGTTACTGAAGCCCAAACACATAAAACTGCACATATTCCAAACAAAGAGCATGGGAACTTGGCAGGAGAAGAGGGTGTCTAAGTTACCAAAGCAGCCATAACTCAGGGGCTGACAAATGATGTGGGTTTGAAATGAGTATTTACTCTGGTATTTAATAATACAAATCCAGAGCGTGGAAACTCCATCACATTGCCTTTAGTGCCTCCAAGTCACTGAGGGCTGTAAGGACCAAACACTGCTGTGGTTTATATAACTCAGTGCCTCTCTTGCAATGTTTTACTGCAGAAAAAAAACACATAATCAGCAGGGAAAGGGATTCCCTTGCTAGTTTCTAGGCTAGCATTGTTTCTGGAGCTTTGGAGCTCGGAGAGGCATTGAATAGTGCAGGGGAACAGGCCTACCAGCTCCCAATCAATCTTGCTATCTCCTGTTGAAAGATACGTCTCCAAAACATCTCTGCTTCAGAGCAGATCTGACTCAAGTTAGCAACACCAACTAGTTTCTCACCATGCGGCAGCATCTCACCAGCAATCCAGCTGCGCAGAACCACAAACAGCACATGGGCTGGCACGGGATGGAGGAGGGGATGCTCTGTTATGCAAGTTCCTTACTGCATCCCACTGAGGAAGAGAGTAACAAACACTGAGCTGCCACTGCAAAGCCTAAAAACTGCTCGTCAGCAGCTCAGCAGAAGAGATCTCTGGGTTTCTTTTTCCTATTCTCATAGCAATGAGCTGTGGAGTTTGGGTCTAGATTCAGGCCAATTTTAGGGTTTCTTGGTCCTTCATGGGTCTCAAACACACAGGGAGCTGCAGTTCAGTTAGACTGCCCCAGGATGCTGGATGCTCTCCCTACTGAGCTCATCCGTCAACCATCTTTTAATGCAAAGGATGCAGCAGTGATCTTCAGGAAGGTTTGGATCCTTGAGGTATTCTGGCCTGATTTTGTAGAACTAAGAAGCAGGGGCTTAAAGTTTAAGGTCAAATCATCATATCAGGCGTTTACTGCAGTCTCTGCTACCCCACAAAGTTTGTTGAGAGCATGTTCTGCCCCAGACCCAGGCAGAGGTGAGATTTCAGGTCACCCTGGGACTAGGCAAAGGTAAAAACAACAGCCCATGTTCATGCCTTGAAGGGTTGCTGCCTTGGCTTTCCCCCCATGTTCACTAGGCTTTTTGTGTTTTATTTTAAACACAAACCCAAATGAGAGTGGCATATTCCTGTTTTTCTAGGGAATACTGCTGGAATGACTAATTGCTACAGCAGTTCACCTCTTAGGCTAATAAACCCAGCCCAAGTGAATGCAGAAAGGAATCTATTGTTTTCAATGCGTAATAATGGGGAAAAGAGGTTTTTATGACTCTCCCTGACCTTTAGAAGGAAGCACAGAAAGTGGCTGGACAAAGCAAACAGGATTCTTAGGATGAAGCTGTCAGCAGTGGGTGCCTTTCTTATGGGATGGATGCTTTAAAACTCAGGTGGAGATTCTCATGTCCACTCCGTGTGAACCAGCCCAGTGTACCAGCCCTTTCAAAGGGGTGCTTACCGGTTGCTGTAGGGGGAGCTTCAGTTCAACTACAAATGAAATATACAGTGAACAACCCCATATCAATGGGATCTGACTTTGTTTTGGAAGAACCCATTGGTTCCAGTTTCCCATCCTCAACACTCACAGTACTGCCAATAGGAAACAGCCCAACAGACACCCCCCTCCCAATCAGTATTGATCCACAGGTGGGTTAATTTGGGACAGTAACAAATAGGGTCAGAACTGACATCTAAAAGGCTTACAAATGGCCAGAGGTTTACAACTTCTTAGCACCCAATAACCCCAGCAGTTCACACCACATCTGAAGAGCAGCCAGACTGCAGCCAGCGCTGAGTTACAACCAATCCCTGACCTGGCTCTGCAAGGAATACCTATGAACATGCTGTTTGCTATGGGGATGAACTTGACCCTCAGCAAGGAGCTCATCCTGCCTGGCAGCCAGCTGGGTACTTATCACAAGTAACCAAAAGTAAATAAACCAAAGCAAAACATGGTTGTCACATTGCAAAGTGGTATTAATCACTCAGGGTAGAAACCACTACATGACCTGAGAGAACAAGTCAATGTGGTATTTCACCTCCTTCACCTTGAATGCCATGAGCAGTGGAGTGAGGAACAGCACTCAAACCGTCCAGCCTTCAGATGCATTATCAGAAGAGAAGACCAGCGTTAATACCCACACATTTTCATCACACAGAAATACCCTGTTGCAGTTCCAGGACCTGGGAGATGCTTTGAGCATGCTACTTTTTGGCTGGGGAAGCTGCTTAAGCACACAAAAGGTCTATATTTAACCATTCAGCTTTTCTAAGGCAGCAGCCATTCTTCCCTTCCTCTTCTCCACAGAGAAAGCACATAACAACACAACATAAACTGTCAGCTGAGCCATGAAAAAGCATCTTTCCATGATTCCACAAGGAGTACAACAAACACGAGGAAATGAAACTGCTGGAGGAATACAACTGCATTGAGACCAACAGGTGATGGTATTGATGAGATATAGATGGTCAGACAGAGTGGTGCTACTTGCCACCAGAAGCTCCATTTAGCACTCTGGGAAGCACTTAAACAGAGGGGTTTGTTCTGGCATTGTTTGAGGCTCCTCTGTCCTGGACGCATGGCACCCTAGGAGATGCTCACCACCCAGCTTGGATAGGGACGATGCTTCTTAGGTACATGCTGCTTGTGGGGGGAGAGGTTTTCTTGCTGCAGAACCATGCAAGGAAGCTACAGGGGCCTGGGGAGGATCCTTTCTCCCTACTTTGGCTGCAGGGAGAGGACCAGACACACATAAGGGGCTCTGTGGGCATACAATGGGCCACGGCCACCATCAATGCACTCAGGTAAAAACACACCGAGGAACGTCACAGAGAAGAAAGCAGCAGAGCAAAGCTTGAGAACTCCCTCAAGGCTTCAAGCAACCACAGCCCCCTATTCCTACTGCTGTAGTACCTTATTATTTGAGTCCAAACACATGATTTTCAGAAAGCTGACTCAGGGCTTTAATGCTCGGGGTCGCCAACACTGTGCGCACAAACACTCTGCAGAGGTTCTGATCACCTGCAATTCACACCAACCTGGGGGGAGCCAGCACTTAGACCAGCAAACCTGTAATTTTGTTTGCAGCTGGTGGTTTAGTTCCTGCTTTCTGTTCTGACCTTGGTATTTCTGTGCTCTCAGACAGATACAGCAAATGGAAAAACCCCACCAGTCTGCTCCCATGCAAAGCTGTTTCATCTCAGATGAGGTGGGGAATTTTTATGCCTGGTGGCAAATCCACAACCCATAATCCCAAGTCAAAAGCATTACCTGTGGCAAACAGGCTTCTGCAGCAGCACAGGGACATGGTCCCTCGGAGAAACCGGCAGGAATGTTCTTAAGGTCAAGTTCTGACTCCGGGAGGGACAATACCAGGTTTCAGAGGCTGGCAAGCAGTCGCCTTGCTGCTATTCAGAGCAGTGGGAGCTTGTTCATTTGTCTTTCACTGTAGCTAAGATAGAAAATAATAAAAGGGGGAAAAAAACCAGACCCATCAACACAAGCACAAAGATCAGCTCTCCAGAAAGCAGGCTACAATATATAGGTTACAGTTTCCTGCTAACACAAACCAGTATGATTTCATAGGCCAAGCTAATTATTTTTAGGGCAAGCATAATCAAACCCAGGTGATTTGCCTTTAGCCATTTCTTCTTATCTTCACACAGCTCCGGATCATTTCCCCACATGGCAAGCAATTCCAGCAGCCCCACGTTGGGAACAGGCAGCTTTTGTCCGAGCCCGCAAGATTACACAGAGGTTAATGTGCTTCTGCACTACAGAACTTGGGGCATTGTCTCGTGCGTTGTAAGACGTGCTCGTGACATGCTGAATTCAGCTGATTTACAAGAGCAGCAAACCAGAAGGTTTTCCCCCTGGGAGCCTTCTCCTAACTATTTCCTCATCAGGATGCTGGTGTGCAGGAGTCGGAGTCGCCAGCAGACTCCATGACCCCCCTTGGGCAGCCTGTTTCAGTGTGCTGCCACCCTCAATGCAAAGCTCTTCCTCACGAGGAAGAACCTCTTATGGTTTAGGTTAAGGCCACTGCTCCTTGTCCTGTCTCTGGGCACCACTGAAGAGAGTCTGGCACCATCCTCCTGGCACCCACCTTTGAGATACGTGTATGCATTGATTACATCCCCTCTCAGCCCAGCTCCCACAATCGCTCCTCCTAACAGAGATGCTCAGACCCCATTCTCCCTCTTTTGCTCCACCTTTGCTCCAAAGCTTCTGGTGCACGTCCCAGAGCCTGCCTTAGGTCCCAGTCCCTGAGAGTGAACTAACTGCAAGCGGGACGTTGTGTGAAGGGGGAAACATGGAAAAGGAGGAAATCATTTATTCTGCAGTGCAGGGCACTTTTGTGGCTGCTTTTATTCAATTGTGTCTCTCTGCAGGGTATTAAATGTAACACACGTTTAAGCTAACTCTGGGGTGCCCAAGGAGGAGAGACAGGGATCTTTCCTCGGCATTTATTTATATCAAAACACATATTTGTATTGAAGAAGTATTGGCTGTCAGGCTACCAACACAAACTCACTCTTGATGCAATAAAACTCACAGCCTGGTCAGCCCTGCTAACAGTAACCTTACCCCAGCATTTAATTCCCATTTCCAGGTTGAGAAAACCAACTCAGCTTGATAGGAAGGGAAAAGAGCCACCAGCACCCCAGGATCCTGCAGCACAGGGATGGCACTCGGGCCCACCACGTCCCTGAACAAGCCATTTCCAGGAGAAGCCTGTTGTATGGCATAGGAAAACCATGACAAAAGATCTTCAGGAGGGTTGGCAGCACGGGAATTTCTGGCTCTGTCGTCTCCCTGTTTCTGCGAGCAGCAAAAGATCCATAATTCTCACACTTAATGTAATTCCAAGGCATCTAAAGTGATTTACAGTCAGTTTACTCAATACTTTCAGCTTTATTTAATGTAACAGTTATGGCACATAAAAAGTTTATTGAAAATCCTTTGGGAGTATGATTGAGTAAGAAACAGTCATTGCTAATACCATTACAAGAGCTGAAGAGAAGGATCCCAGCATGTTCCCTCAGTGACCTTTCTGGCTCTGTGATCCAGGGTTACACCAGGAAATCCTCCCCTGCTCTCCAAGGGGAACGGTGCCACGTTGTGGGGAGCAAAGAGCTTGGGAGGTGCTTATCTGACATGGTGAGCCCTGGGTCTGCTCTGCCAGCGGGATGGGAAGGAAAGGAAGTTCTGGGAAGCTGAGGGGGGAGGAATTCCCCTCCTGCCAAACTCATTTATGCAGCTATTTATTTTCCTATTTGCCGTTTGCAAGCAGGGCTGAATCCCTCCTCTGCAGAGCAGAGGAGTTGCTCTGGGTGGGGTTGGGATGAAACCAGGGCTGCAGCGGAGTGAACTGCATGGATCCTTCCCAGCTCGGCTCCCCGCGGGGCTGCTGACTCTTCCAGCATCACCAGTCTGTGAAGCTTCTCCCCAGATGAGGAATTGCAAAAGATGTTCATTTGCCTTAGCAATTAACAAACGCTGCTTTTACTATCATTATGGCAATAACTGTAATTTAATAATTGCCAACACTCCTGGTGATAACATCCACAGTGGTAAGCATATCTCAACATCAGCTTGTGTTGGATATCCTCGCAGCGCTGGCAGCCCACCAAGCTTGCCTGAGACAGCAGAAGATTCACATTTATCTTAAAGGGGCAGAAGAGGAGCAGGGTAATTATTGCTGCACCTAGAAGCTCTGATCACAGACCAAACCCAGGCTGGCCATGGGGCACCAATGCAAAACGCCACGATCCCTCCTGAGGATGCTGGAGTGAGTGCTCAGATTCCTCATCCTTGAGCCATGGCTCAATGCAGGCTTCAAAGGAAGCCCTGGTTAGTGCCTACCTCCATGGGCAGCCTCTGATGTTTGGGGAGGTAAGGGCAGAATGTGCAACCTTTCCTTAAAGCTGGGCTACTTCCAAGATCTCTTTTCCCAAACCTGTTTTCACACACAGGCATGGCTTGTTTGCCACCCATGTTTTCCAGGAATCCGAGGTGAAAGGTGTGTCATGGGAAGGTGGGAAGAGCCAGCAACCCCGGTGTGAAATGAAAGCACGCTGAATAAACTGGAACGAAGAGGGAGTAAGAGAAAAACATGTTCCACATGTGCGTGTTCCATAAACAGAAAAAAGGTTACAGTTTTTAGATAAGGCAACTGTGATGGATTGTTTCTCTGTGTTTGTCAATCAAGTATTAAGACTTGCAGAATTAAAATCAGTGCAGTTCAGAGACGGATTCCAAGCTCTCCAAAACATCAGGTTTGGCATTTAGATAGCTATCAAGCTATCATCTCTAGACAGACAAACAGATAGATGGATGGATGATTTGGAGGAAAAGATGGAGACATTCTTTCAAGACTTCTTTTTTTTTGTGTGTTGTTTTCCAAGCGATGATTTGCTTGTGCCAAGAATTCAGCCTGGGGAAAAGTCCAAATGCAGCATTTCCTCCAGCTTAAACTGGGGCTTGGCCCAAACCGAACCTTGGCTCCAAAGACCTGCTCTCAGCAGGGACATGCAGAAGGCGATTTGGTGCCTGTCTTAGCCCACCCTGTGTTAGCAGAGCATCAGCAGAGGAACGGACACCTGCCTCTGCCCCCAGAAACCCCATGTACAGGTGCCCAAATGTTAATGCTGAACAGATGGGGGGAGAAAAGCAGCATTTCATGCTGGGACTGGCAGAGCAGGCTCCAACAAGTCCACTATTGTTAGACAGAAATTCCTAGAAACAGATGCAGCAAATTCAGTGCTTCGGAGCCAGTTCTGGAGTTTGGGGTCTGCTGGGAGAAGCCTGTGTAGCTTATGGATTAATGTGCTATTATTACATTACTCTTTAAGCTTCAAAGGTCTGCCAGGAAACCTAAGCCCACTATCTATTGAATGACATTTTAAGAACAAATAATACATTAATATATTTAATTTGAGAATAAACACATACATTATAGGAAGGGATTTTGTCTATGCTGATAAGTCAGTGCCTGACCTTTCCGCTGCAATCCCCGGGTGCTGAGCCATAGAGAACCTCTTCCAGAAACCTTTGCTATCAGCTGCGAAGCGAGAGCCCTTCCGCTGGTCCTGCGGGCTCCGGACTGCAGCTGCCACGATGGTTGGAAATGGGAGCTGAGCCCTAATTATCCCTTCGACACTCATCTACAGCTCCACTAAATCTTGTTGCCTCAAATTAGTTAATCAATTAAGTGTCAAACCACAAAATGTTAGTGATTGTGGCCTGAATTTATTGCCTTGGCACATGTTTCCATCTGCTGATGGGAAGATCTGGGGCTGGCGCTTCCCCCATCCCATTAGGAAAGGGTGAATGAGGCCAGGCCCAGAAAGAAATGGGTTGGGAATGCAAAGTCCTGCACCCAGGGAGGAGCAACCCCGTGCACTGGGATATGCTGGGGGCCAACCGGCTGGAAAGCAGCTTTGAGGAAAGGACTTGGGGTCCTGGTAGGCAGCAATGAGCCAGCAACATGCCCTTGTCACAAAGGTGGTTGGTGGTATCCTGCACTGCACCAGGCAAAGCACTGCCAGCAGGATGAGGGGTGTGATCCTTCCCTCTGCTCAGCACTGGTGAGGCCACATCAGGAGTGGGGTGTCCAGTTCTGGGCTCCCCAGTACAAGAGAGATGTGGACATACTGGAAAGAGTCCAACAAAGGACCATGAAGATGATCCAGGAACTGGAGCAGGATGAGGATGAGGATGGGCTGGGACTCTTTAGCCTGGAGAAGAGAAGGCTCAGGGGAGATCTTATTAATGTGTATAAATACCCGAATGGAGGGTGCACAGAAGATGGAGCCAGGCTCTTTTCAGAGGCTTTGAGGTCCAGGACAAGAAGTAACGGGCCCTAAACACAGGAGGCACCACCTGAACATCAGGAAACACTTCTTTCACTGGAAGCAGGACTGAACACTGGCACAGGTTGCCCCCTGAGGCTGGAGTCCTTGGTGATATTCCAAAGCCAATGGGACAGGGCCCGTGCATTGGACGAGGTGACCTCCAGAGATCCCTTCCAACCTCAGCCACTCCGTGGTGCCTGAACCCTGAGTCCTTACATGCTCGATACGGGCTGTTAGGATTACAGTGAGTCAGAAAGTCCTGTTCCTGCCGTGGGATAACTTGGGAGGCTTTAGATGCTGATGAATTTTGCTGGGATTCTTTTCAGCTTCCGAGGTGGTTGTTTTTGAAGCATTTCAAAGAAAAGATAAAGCTGATAACTGAAACATGCAGCCTTTTTTTTTTTTTTTTTCCCCCAAAAGTCGTGAAAATATTCAGCTTTGGAAAACATTTCTGGTCAAAAAATAAAATAGTCTGTTTTCTTGGAAGCAGTTCCCAAAATCCATGTCAGCCTTTTCAGTGTCTATCTGAAAGAGAAAACTTTAAAAAAAGGTGTTTTTTTTTCCTTAGGTTTGTTTGTGGTTACTGCAAAACAAC